ACACCTAGCATCCCAGCATGGGCAGTATGATGGGCAGGAAGCACAAGCAGATGCCATGGTGCTATATGACAAGTAATTTTTTCTTTCTTTTTTCAAAAGAATTATAATGGTAATGCCAGTAATGTTTTAACTTGTGAGTAAATACCCTTTTTTATTTGCTAAATAGTCCAAAAATTGAACTTCAATTACTACATAAAACAAGATTTTCTTCACTGTATTTAAACATAATGCGATGTTTTACAGCTAAAACAGTTTGTAAGTCTTCAAAGTCTAGTTGATTTATTTTATCATGAATTTTTTTTTCTCTTCAGATACTTTTCCTTGCAAGCTACTTGTCAAGTTGGGTTTGATGATAAAGTGCGGTTTGAAGTTGAATCCAATATATGCAGGGAAGGTGGTCCTTTGCCTGATTGTTTTGCTTGGCCAAAAGGCATAGTCTTTCTATCACTAGAAAAGGTAAGCCTAAAAGAAAGCAGATTATATAAATTATTTGTAATATAAGTTTAACACTATCAGTTTCTGAAGTTACCCACAAAACAAATACATAGTTTAAGCCTGGAATTCACATTATATGATGAACTCTTTGTTAATATGATACACAATATTAGAATGGTCTTTTGAAAAAACAAGTTTATTTAAAAAGATTGATCCCTGAAAAGTTTAAAATCACTTATATATTTTTTCAAAACTGAAAGTTAATTTTCTTTCCAGAACTATTTCCCACAATTTCACAAGAGTGAATTGTACTACAAATACTTATCTGAGTTAATCAGTACAATCCAAGCCAACCATGAGCAAGTCCCGCAAACTCGTAAGAAACGCACTGGTAATTAAGTTTTTCTGTACTTAAGTTCGAAATTTTTGTCTAAATTCCTATGTGGCTGTTTTAACTACAACAATTGCATGCCTCCAAACACTTAAGCAAGTTGTGTGTTCCAAAAGTTAAAGAAATTGATGTATGAATTTATATATCTTTGTAATGCCCAAAGTTAATTTCCAAAAACAAAAGTTAATTTTCAAAAAATTAAAATAATAAAGAGATCTCTTTACAGTATGTTTGACATATTTAATATGATTAGAGAACACTAGTGATTTTTTATATGCATTTTCTCACTTTCTCATTTAGGAAGTGATGCTAGTTCAGACACTCACAGCATTGGTAGCCATAGCACAGGAGGGGATGTGAACACAAAGAACACACTTCTTGCCACAGGGTCCCAGCAACAGAAAGCATTTAACAAATTCACTGATGATATACAGATAGATTTTAATACACTGAACCCTGATGTACCCTTATGGACAAGGACAAATGCCAAGTTAGTTGAGATGTATATGACTTTCTCGTCAAATTAGATGTAAGATGGAATGATAGGCCAAAATATTCCAAGGAGATATTTATCAGTGGATGGCTGTACTTGTGATTCTAAGATAAGATTGTTAAATTGTTTAACTATGGGAGTTGATGAATTCATCCTATTTACATTCAGATTTTTGACTATATTTTATTTCATTCAACAGTACCATGTCTCTTGGGAAAGTGGATGAATTTGGGCAGTTTGTCTCAGAATTTGAACCAGAACCTGACCATGACAAAAAGAAAGGTAAGATCATTTGTTTGTATATTTTACCTTTTTGGTAATATACTATGCAAAAAGAGCAATACAAGTTTGAAAATTTATTAAACATATGATATGGTTAATGATGACAAAGTTTTAGAACTCACTGCTCCATGTTTTGCATTTCAAACTTGAAAGAAACTGTTTCCTTTTTAGAGTCAAGATGGAGAAAGAAGAGGAAAGAAAAAGACAAGGTAGGAAGTGATGGAACAATGTATTAAACCATTTTTACCACAACTGGCGCTTCAAACAATAGGATAATTGCACTAAGTCTTGTGTTTTGCATTCAGGCTTGCCTGTATTTTCATATGCTTTGGTGCATTCATCCTATTATTCGAAGCACAAACCCTGATAAAAGACAGTTACAACTACTTGATGCCCACCGAATGCAGCATACAAGAGCAAATTATATTTCAGCTGTGCCTCAATATAATTATACTCTTGTATGTGGCATACAGTGGACGACTCGTGTTGTAACTAGTACATTATTTAGCTTCTTCGTGAAAGATGCATAAAAAAGCAAGTTTTAAAGCAATGGATGTTATTTTAGATAGAAATTGAATATGTAATATAAACTTCATTATGCAGATGATGATTCCTATGATTTTGTTCTTTTCACTAGGCTCAGGAAGACATGGCATGGCAGATTGCTCAAATGATTGTTAGAGACGTTACTGATCAGAATAAAGAATCCACTCCAGAAAATCAGAAATCAGGGAATATTAACTGAACCACACATGATAAAATGGTAAGTATTTTGTGTGAAGAATTCAAGGTACAAGTAAGGTCTCATTGTTAATTATCTATAGGTAGATGGTTGATTAGCAAGGAATATGGGATATTTCAAATATACATGTTGCATGAATTTGAGCCCATAATGAGATGATAATTGGAAATGTAAGTTAAATTGATATTTTATGTATTTTGCACCAATAATCCTGTCCCTATTGTTTTGATCAAATTTTTTAATATTGCCCATTGATGGATTTCAGACTTGCCTTTGAGTTATACATTGGATCCATATGCAAAGAAGTAACACCAATGATGCAACATGAATAAAACCCACCAGAAGTTCAGAGAGGAAAGACCTGAGAACTTTAAATAGCATCTTTCTTTGGCCTTGAACTAAAAATTCCTCCTCTGGACATTTTAAAACTAGCAATCAATTTCACATGATATCCGATTTAAAATGTTTTGTATATTTATCACGGTATATGTATATGAAATTCCAGCCATAATACACAAGTGTCTAGTTCAGGTCTAAAGATTAACTCACTTTTTAGGTTATTTTATTATTGATAGATCTCTAGTTTGTTAATTAGCAGACAAAGACTGAAGATCTAAAAGTAATTGTTTTGATTTGCAATTGTAGTTCAAGTGGAAATATTTTTGTATTAAGTTTGATAACTTGTGATTGTACTGATTGTTCAGTCTTGTTGTCTGTTTTCATTACTTGGAAGACAAGTAACCAACATCAAACACCATCCAAAACAACTTGAATTAATATTACGCATATCTGTTAATTTTGTTGTCTCTTCCACTCTCTTAAAGTGTATAGGCAACTTAACAAACATTTATTTTTCTTTTACGTATGATTTTGCCATACCTCGTATGAGTATGTCATGATTATAATCAATACAGGACTTCATAAAATTTAGAAATTGGCATTACAGTTTATGTTTTTTCCCTGCATTTTTTTTTTTATTACTGTTATGAGTTAAAAGCCAGTTTGAATTTAAAAAAATCGTAGTTGAACATTCAATTTTCAGGACAAAAAGTAGCTATTTGTTAAACAGCTTCTATAACATAATGATTGTTATTGTTAAGACAGTGTTTTGTCATTTGTGAAAGGTACATTTAAAAA